AATATTAATGTGAATTTTTGCACTTTCGAAATTTCAATTAAGAATGAATGGTGGAACAGAATATTTTTCCCTGTACAAAATATACAAACGTACACATGTAAAACGTATGTGTTGTACATAATAAAATTTGATTATTTTATTTGGTCTACATTTTATTTCTGTTTATATGTAAAATAAAAATTCTTATTTGATGTGCCCTACTAAATCAGTTCAGTATTGAGGTTCATCATTTGGATAAATTTTTGGAATAAATTTTTTCTGTTGATTAACAAACTAAACAGCGGTTTTTCATCAAACAAAATTTTGTATACTTAAAAATTATGCATGTATGGATGCTAATAATCTTTTGAAATTATTGTGAATTCAGCAAATTTTTTTTTTCTGAAAAATTTTATGTAAAATTTCTCAAGAAATTATTGTATCTTGAACTTAACATTGTTGATCAAAAGAATAATTTGAATTTTCAAGTCTTTTCCTTGTTGAAAGATTTTAATTTTAATGTTACAATCAAATCAGTCAATAATAGTGGAATCATTTTAAGTTCTTATAATTTTTTCCGGAATCACTTATATAAAATATTAAATGTTTCGCAACATATAAATACATTAATCTTTATACTGGCGAACCCGCGTGAGAGATTGTTGCATATTGCGTACGATACTAGAAAAGGACTTTTCAAATGAATTCAACCCGTTCCGCTATGATATTGTTTTACGTTTACCTGTAAACATATTAAATTTTGATAATATTTTTAAAATAACTGTTATATCCCAAAAATTATACTTATAACAGTTCAATAAATTATTTAAAGTTAATAATGAGTAAATTAGCATAACGAAACGGAAGACACTTCGATTTATATTCTCGATGAGTCTGAAGGATTAATCCAATACAAAGTGGAATTTCTTATGAAATTCGATATTCGGCTTTTTATCGGTCATACTTATGGCCGCGGAGCTTATCGAAGCGCACAATAGATCCACTTATTGGATCGCAGTGCATGTTTACCGTCCGTGTAACAATTTAATCTTATCTAGTCGAAAGCAATTTTCATATACATACTATATCTCCTCTTATTAAAGAAAAACTTCCAATGGTTTTAAAATATGTGCTTTAAAAATTGAATAAAATTTCACATTTGAAGGTCCTTTTCGGAATTATAGAATAATAATAAAAGCAAGATTTGCATTCGGCATAATATGAATACATACAAAAAAAACAATATATATATATATATATATATATATATATAAGGATTTCATATTTAAATAATTTCTTAGCTGAAATACTGAGACTAATGAAACCTGCATAATACGATGCAAAAATATACTATAGCTACAGGAGTCCACCAAATTGTCTTCTTCCTTAAATTATTCGATAAAAATATTAAACAACAAATTCAAAAGAGTAAAGATTCAATTGTCATTGTGCTTAGCTGTCCTTACGTTATATTTATATAAGGTAGTAGAAGATAGGTCAAAAAAAACATATTTAAAATAATTAAGATTATTTTAAATTTAATTCAAAATATTTTTAATTATAAGCTCTATAAATCACTAATTTTGCAAACTAAACGGCTTTTTTTGCGTTTTTGAAAGCGGTTTTTGTTTTGAGCACTTTCTAATAATTCAAAAGATTAATGACATACAAGTTTAATTTTTTTCCTTTATTAAAAGTGATTAAATATTTAATTTTAATTTAAATAAGAATTTAGCAGTTTTGTATTGTTACGCATTCCAGTTTTCACCAGAATTTTCCCGAAAATTAATTTTTTGGTTAACATTAAAGCATCATCCAGGTGACTTTTGTATACACTCAAACATTTTAATTCCAAACTTGTTAAAAATTCTTAACAAGATTATATCAAAAAATATTTCCAGAATCGTGAATTTATTTATAGAGTTATTTTTGTTTAAAGTTTAATTATAGACTTTTCAACTTATTATTTAATAATAACAAAAAAAAAAAATAATAACAAAATTGGTGCTAATCAAAAGCGAAAAATGTGTTAATTTTAACGTATGCACTAACACGTATGAGTATATAATATGCTAGTATATTTGTAGTAAGTTTTTAATGCATTTTTCAATTAAATCTACAATATTAAGCTCTTTTTAGCATTAAAGATTACCGTCGCACAAAAACGGGAAAAATTTAGCAATAAGAAAAATTGTGGAGTAAGAACATGACATTCAGACAAATACGATATATCAATTCCCAATTAAAATTTTGTGGTTTTTACTCACTCAACAGATTACAGCACTAATCCTCATTATATTCTTCCTCTTGAGAAGGAATATAATGAGGATTTTTATATTCCATTTCTAGAGAAAACTATGGAAGATGTTTTTAACATTTATTTGAAATAAATTGAAAAAAAAAATTACTAAAAGACTTATAGCCTCTTTCCAACCCACCGACTTAAAAATGTGTTATAGACCTGCAATTCTTTTTAGATATTTTTCCTTACTATTTTTAAAAAGGAACTGTTATACACTATTCATACATTTCTACATTGTCCAATAAATATTTTTCTTTGATTCGACTTAGCTGAACTTTTTTAGCTTATGACATTAATTGTTTTTATCAATAGAAATGCCAGAGTTGACCTGTTTCATATGAAACAATATTTTTCCTAATAATTTTTATGCAAATATTTCGAAATTAATGTTTTGGATCACTTTGCTTCTTAGCGCTTCAAGTAATCCATGATTTTAATATTCGAATTAAAGTAATCCATATTTTCAGTTACATAGTAATCGAAACATGTTGATATAGAAAAAGGAGACTTTCCATTATGTAAAATCTTCCAAACAATTGTAGTACGATTTTCTTGTAGTGTTCACCATGACCGTAACATTAATAAATCACATTACACTTACATCAAAAATTCATCATACATAAATTGTTACAATTTAATCCGAAATTTTAATCGAATTCGATACAACAAATTTTAATCAGATTGTTATCAATTATGGATATTATGTACAATAATCGATTGTTTTTATTTCTACACATAGTAGACAATCAATGTCAATGTCACTCACGTAATGTGTACATACGAGTATTATACATACATACATTAGAATGAAAGCTTTTTTATCAAAAATGTTGCTTAACAATTTATTGTTTAATATAAACAAAACACAATCCAAACACGAAATGAAAGAAAAATGCAAAAAATTCAGCAAAGTAAACAAAATTAATTATTTTTAATAAATATGTACTTTTGTATATTATGTATGTATGTATGTGTGTATTTGTTGCGTTATATCATCTGTATGTATTTGCAAACATTGTAACAGTGCCGCATTGTAACAGTGCGGCATTTACCTATAGCCGAAATTGATCCTAACAAAGAATTCCGCCTGTGTCAGAAGAATCTAAAATAAAAAATCCCTTTTCATATATTATAATTTTCAGTTAAAAAATAAAGTTCAGTTAAAATGTGACTCAATTGATAATAAATTTATACAGAATGAGTGTTAGAAATTTCATTCAATATTATAATTAATATTCTTACTAATAAAATTAAATATTAAAAAATGACAGTTTTCTGGGGAAACTGCTGAAGAAATACTATTTTCAATTATTTGTCTACTTTTCATTCCAAAAAATAGGAAAATATCCCAAACAAATCGAGTCTAATATGCCTATATTTCAGCAATTTGATCAGAATTTCGTATAATTTATGGATCTCTTATTCATTATTAGAATGATAAGGTTCTCAAAATTTACCAATGACAAATGTAATTGAAAATCTATTCAATATTGGTTGAAAACCGTTTTTGGATGAGCATTTGAAGCGACTTACATTTTCATGTATATTCATTCAATGATCCAAGCCTAAGATCTCTCCCATAACAAATCCGACCCTGGTTATGTATAAGTGTTTATACATTTATAATAAAGTATTCATTATACATGGTACTTTTTCAAAACAGTTTATTACCGGAAATAGAAGAAATTGAGATTCATAAGGACATTTGGATTTTGTTTATAGGATCTTTTCTATACAGAGCTTTTGTGTGAAATTATTTTTGCATTTGATATTCAACAAAAAAATTTCCAAAGAAAATTATAAGAGGGAAAATTTAAAAACAAATTAAAAACTAAATTTATTATAAATACAAATTTTATACTTTTATTAAATTAACCTAGAAACACACAAAAATAAAGATAGAATAAACATTGGGCCTTAATTCAAAATATCTTAACTCACTTTCTATGATTTTACATGAATCAATTGCAATTAGGAAAATGATTTTCAATTTTTAAATTTTGAGAATTTGATTAAACATAACCTCCGAGTAATTGCAGTAGATTTTGTCGTGAAAATCAATTTTTAGCAATTTTTTAAGGCAAACTAATAAATTCCAAAGATTTATTTAAGCCTGAGATTATATTTAAGAATGGTAAAAATATTCAACTCAATTTTCGAATTCGAAATCAATTACATAAATGACATAATGGTTCAGTTGATGCACATACTTAATGTACTATATGTGTCATACAAGTGTTCAAGCGACGTTTACTTATTATACTCATAATACATTTTCAGTTCACTTGAACAAACAATAAGCTGTCAATAAATTTTCCTAATATGTCAATTTGCTTACATATTTTTCAGAAAAATAAAATTGATATTTAAAATATTGAACTGAGAAAATAATTAAAGCTGTAAAACACTTAAAAATTTCGGGCATAGGCAACGTGATTGTATTAAAAATAAGAAATATTTAAGAGAATGAAAGAAAGCAAACATTTACCGACTTCGTTGCCCAAATAAAGGGGAGTTCTTGTGTTATTAAAAAGATTTGAGTAATTCTCAAATTCTTCTCAATAATGAAAATTCTCAATAAATATAACAGTAAATTTAAATGCTGATCCTCAAGAAGAATAATTTGATGGAAAAACATTACCAAATCCATGTTGCTAGCAATTCATATTAACATAACATTTTAGTATTAATTAACAGAAGTTTTCCTATTATTTTTCAGGTTGATCCTATCAAAAATTAAAATCAAAAACCAACTCAAATAATTAAGGAAATGAGTACGGACATAAATGGCCACAATAATCCAGCATATGTTACTGGTGATGATGAAAAAAATACAACAGATAAATCAAAACATGGCCTAGAATTAACAGAAAAAGGTCAATGTTATACAGATGATTATGATCCATATAAACATCGAAAAGTTGAACATCCGACAACGTAAGTTTTGGAATCAAATATTTGAAAATTAAAAAAATTTTAATTAAAATTTACGTTTTTTTTTTCTTATTTCTTTTGTTAAATATAGAAATTCTGAAACGTTATTTCATCTTTTAAAAGGTTCTCTTGGAACTGGTATATTGGCAATGCCAAATGCTTTTCGAAATGCTGGTTATATTACTGGTTCTATAGGAACTGTTGTTATTGGAATTATTTGTACATATTGTATACATTTACTTATAAAAGCTGAATATGAATTATGCAAAAGAAAGAAGGTACTAATTAGATCTTATAATAAATAAAATGTAGCCCTTAATAAAAAAATCAGAAAATTGTATAAGATTTATTATTGCTTCTTTATATATAGATTCCAAGTATGTCATATCCAGAGGTAGCCGAAACAGCATTATCTGATGGACCATCTTGGCTTAGATGGTTATCACCATATATTGCGTAAGTAAATATTAAATCAAATGTGGTCGACAACCTTAACATTAATCATTAATTTTTACAGAAATATCGTCAATACATTCTTATTAATATATCAGTTGGGAACATGTTGTGTCTATGTTGTATTTGTTGCGTCAAATATAAAATCTATAGCTGATTTTTACGTTGATGATTCAATAGATGTTAGAATGTATATGTTAATTATTCTTATACCATTAATTTTAATTAATTGGGTACGTAATCTTAAATATTTGGCACCATTTTCAACGATAGCAAATGCTGTAACTTTAGTATCATTTGGTATTATTTGTTATTATATATTCCGTGAACCAATAAGTACTGAAGGTAAAGATCCATTTGGTACATTAAAAGGATTTCCATTATTCTTTGGAACAGTTTTATTTGCTTTAGAAGCTATAGGAGTTGTAAGATTTACATTATTAATTAATAAAATGAATAATTTATGAAAAAAAAAATTTTTTTTTTTTAGATTTTACCACTTGAAAATGAAATGAAGACACCGAAAAATTTTGGTGGAAGTTGTGGAGTTTTAAATAGTGCAATGGTTTTGATAGTTATTTTATATGTTGGAATGGGTTTATTCGGTTATTTAAATTATGGTGATAAAGTTGAAGGATCAATTACATTGAATTTGCCATCAGATGAAGGGTAAATTTAACAAATAATTTAGAGATTTTTGATGGTAACTGCAACGCAACAATTATAAATAATTTAGCCTAAATCATTTTGCCATATGAAGGGCTGACAAATATTACATTTTGAGAATAACAATTTTTCCCAATTAAATTGATTTGAAATCAAAATTTTAAAATAATTTTACTCAAATTTATTATTAAAAGGCTTCATTTAGCATATCCTATATAAAAGCTCGACCTAACACAATTCTATTGAATTTTCTATTCTAATATTAGTAAACAATATCAGGTTGTGCATATAAAGATATTTTCCTATAATTAGTTGCTCATTATTATAATTAATTATAATTAAAAATTAAAGTACTAGAATATTCTCCAATACAGAAGCATTGCTTATTACTTCATTACAAATTACGTAGAAGCGTCGTGCAACGATTAACAGAATTTCAATTATTTTAGCTACTTCAGAGTTAAATGAATCACACTTAATTCTAATACGTAAAAATATGCAATTTTTATAAATTTTACTTAAATTTTTTTAACTAAATTTTTTCTTTTGTTATTATTGTTACTTACTTAAAGACTATCTCAAGCTGTGAAAGGAATGCTAGCTTTCGCTATCTATATTACACATGGTTTAGCTTGTTATGTTGCTATTGATATTACGTGGAACCATTATGTTAACAAAGGACTTCGTATTACATCAAAAACTGTATTTTGGGAATACGTTTGTAGAACTGGATTAGTTTTAGTAACATGTAAATTTTAACATTTTTATCAAATTATTTTTTAAATTTTACATTTTAATTATAGTACATAAATTAATTTACTAATTATGTTTTATATTTAATTTTTTTAGTTTTACTTGCCGTTGCAATTCCAAATTTGGAACTTTTCATATCATTATTTGGTGCATTATGTTTATCAGCACTTGGTTTAGCATTACCAGCTTTTATTGAAATTTGTACATATTGGTATCAAAGAAAAGGATTAGCAAGAGTGTGGCTTATTGGTAGTAATGTTATAATTGTTATTGTTGGTATTTTAGGATTAGTTATCGGAACATATACATCAATGGCGGAAATCGTTCATACTTTCTTCTAGTCTTCATATTAAATTATAAAAATAAATGAATATTATTATTGTGTACATGTTAATTAGACTTAAATTATTATTAGATATTATATATGTATATGTAGTATAACTTACTATATATATATAATTTATATTAAGATATAAAAATATTGTATTTAAATATAAATAAACAAATTATATGTATTTATAATTACAAAATCATTCCTATAAAGTTATGAACAGTATCTAAATTAGTATGTGATAATGTTATAATAACTTTATTCATTAAGTTTCTTATTTATAAGAATTTATTTAAAAATTAAATAAGCTACATTAAAATTTTAAAAACTCAATAAAATTACAAAAGAATAATGAATAAAATATAAAAATATTAATGATTATTGAAAATTTGAATCAATAGTTCTTAGTAGTTATTTGTAAACTTCCAATTTTATATAGATTCTTCGAAAATTTTATTCAATCCTTACAATTATCACAGTCATTTTTAAATCATTTGCATTTCCAATGTTCTACTTTTAGGAATCATTTATTTTAAGCCAGAATTTAGATTTTTCTACAAAGTTTTTTACGTTCAACATTGTTATTTTATTTTTATATAGTTTTAATATGGGGTGTCTTCGTTGTTATAATAGTGGGTGTTTTTATTTGTGTCTCATATTTTGTACCTATTTTTTTGGAAATAACTTGGAAAATTAGTATATATTAACTTTTGGCTCAATTAATAAGAAAATTTAAAATTTTTACGAAAGTTCTGTGTTACAAGCTGTAAATCTTTTATTTAGAAATAGGAAACAAATTTCAGCAGATAGATTTTAAGACCAATTTATGATGAGATGAAATCCCTTCATGGTCTCACTTCTTCACTTTTAGTTGTATTCTAGTACAAATGCCGGATTGAAGATTTATTGAAAGAATCAAAATAGCCATCATATGGAATTTTTTGAAAAACTTATGAGAAAATCACCCTCTTATTAATCATTTTAATATTGTTGCAAAGCCCTTATAATAACAAAAACGTCTGAAATGCAATTAACTACCTGGTTACTCAAAAATTTAAATACTCGTAATGTGCTTAAAATTGTATTGTTAAATTTTTGAAATATTTTCATTTGAAAATCTGGAAAAAGTACTTGAAAATTTACTGTCAAAACTTATACAAAGGTCGGAGCATTCCAAAAATATTATCAGGTTTTATAGTTGATCAACTGATTATAAATTTGTTATCCACAACTCTTTACTTACTAACATACTTTAGATAGCTTGAAATTTCGGAATAATTGAATTATGCACTTTTACGTCAGTGATATAAAAACCCTCTTTTCATCCTTGTTATTTATTTTTATCAAAAACTTTCTCAAGTATAATTCTTTTAATTTCAAAATCTTAATCTTGATAATATTATTATATTTATATATGTATATTGAATGTAGGTACAATGTAATACAAATAATTGATTTTTTAATGACAAAATAACAGCAATGTATTTGTAGTGATAACGAAAATATTCTATTTTTCTCAAGTCAACCAGGTTTTTTTTCATATTTATTTGAACAGCATATCTTTAAAAACAAAGTAGTCTTCTAGTAAACTTAAATGGTAATAGTTGTACAATATTTTGCACGGATTAAATTAAAATAATTATTACGGGTTTAGGTGTTCTATTAAGAAATTTCATTGAAATTAAAAAACCAAAGTAAGAAAAAATTAAAATGGATAAGGGATATGATAATAAAGGATATGAAGCAGAACAGGCGAAAAAAAATATTTCTTGGAATGCTAATGTAAATTTAAGCTCAACTCAAATTAGTGAAAAAATTCAAATTGAGAAAAATGATGATTACGACCCATATCAACACAGAGAAGATATTAAACATCCAATTAGGTAAGAATTTATTTGTAAGTTGTATAAGTGGTTCAAAATTGGATTTATTTAAAAAATGAATTTGGGTTAATTGAATTTTCGATTATATTGGGGTCTTAATAAGCATAAAACAAATGATTTTTAATAATTAATAAAAATTATGATTCTAAATATAAAAATTTCAGTCAAATTTTAAAATATCCTTTTAAATATCATTTAGATTCACAAATTACAATTAAAATATTATTATAAAAAAATGGTTTAATCGTTTATTCAAATTTAACTCTTATTTTTATTAGAATTTAAAACTTATAAGTCCAAGTTGAATTCCAGCTGTAACGTTTCTATAGATTATATAAAATGTTACTTTCAACCTCTTACTTTCTACTCCAACACAATCCAAAAAAAATTCCAAGCAAACTTCAATTCACAAATTTTGGTTATCTTCAAAGTCAATTGTTGAATTTTTTCATAATTGTGATGATAACATAGATAGTTAAATATAAAATTGTTTATTTTATCTATTCTATACACTCAAAAATAATATTGAACTCCTAAAACGCAAAACTTTTTAGAAATGAATTGTTTCCAAAATATTAATTATTATTAATAATATTTTATCTGTAAGGTATTGTTTCTTAATGGGTGATAACATGCATAACATATGTATTTTAATGTACTTGTACATAGTAGATTAATTGAGAAATTAGAAAAACTTTCAAGTATTAAATATAGACAATACTGGACTAAAAGATAAATAAGAGACACCCAAAAACTATAAACTAGTTAGAAAACTCATTATGAATTTTACAAATAGCAAGCAATATCAATATAAGTAATATGTATACATATATTATTTCTATTTATACTCTTACGTAATATATTATTTGCCAATATAATATACAAACCTTTAAGTTACGTAAACAACAGTTTTAATATCTTAATTTTTTCCTAAACAAATTAAGGTATTTCGTGTAAATACTATAGTATACATTATACATACAAAGATGCCCTTACATCTACATGGTAACTTTATATACATAAATAGTTAACAATATTGAGCTAATAAAATCTGTTATAAAGGTATTTGATTGGAATCAATTAGGTTATTTGTTAATACTGTTGACTATAATAATATTAATTAAAATCATTATGATTCGTGAATCCTATAATCAGAATACGCACTTAAACTAGATTCATGTAAAAACAAATGTGTGCACTAAATTCACTTATACATTATTATAACACTCATGTACATTATCAATTTCATAAAACCAATAATGCATTTCTCCTGTTAGTGTAAATTATATAAAATATTCATTTTTATTAATGTGCATACAATTGCCATGCAATAATGTGCAATCTGCACATCGATTGATAAATATCTAGTGCTTGGTATGGCTATTTAAAAATTTCGGTCATATCAAAAGCAAAAAAATTGAAATATTGATGTAGATGCCAAATTTTTATTTCCTATGATGAACAATTTCAAGGCAATATCAACAACAAATACAAAAAAAAACTGGAGAACGATTTCAAATTTTAATTTTAATATTATTAATTCCATATAATGTAAGCATTATATTTGTAAATTAACTTTAATCAGAGCATTGTTTTTACCAAAACGTAAATAATTATTGAAGCTGTTCATACGGCCCATTGGAAGCTCTTTATTTACGATGAATTTAAATACAGTGCGGCCTGAAATTTAAAAAAAAATTTAGAAACTTGCGTTCTTCTTTTATGAATCAAGTTTGCAAACTTTTTTAAAAAACACGTCGATGAATGTAATATCAATCGCAATAGTTTAAAATTAAATCCAATTGCTTTATTGTTATTACAATTACTTACTATCACAAAATTTTTTAATTTACTAAAAACAATAAAATTATGAACAATATTTGTAAAAATTAATCAAAACTATATTTTTTAATATCAATAATTGCAGGACCTCTGAAACTTTTATTCATTTATTAAAAGGATCAATGGGCACTGGAATTTTAGCTATGCCAGCTGCATTTAAAAATTCCGGTTATGCATTAGGAATAATTTCAACATTTTTAATAGGATTAATATGTTTATATTGCACACATATACTTTTAAGTACAAATTATGAAATATCTAAAAGGAAACGTGTACCATTTTTAACATATCCGGAAATAGCTGAAAGTGCAATAGCTGGTGGTCCAAAATGTATACGAATTTTTACACCGATTATAGGGTAAGTAAATAAAAACTAATGTTATTTAATTTCCTATATATAATTTTCTAATAATAATTTTATATTTTCATTTTGTTTTTAGACATGTTGCAAAAATATTTCTTATTACTGTACAACTTGGAACCTCTTGTGTCTACGTTGTATTTATATCAGAAAATATTAAATATATTGTTGATTATTATACACCAGCTGAAACACATATTGATGTTCGTTTATATATGTGTATGATATTATTGCCATTAATATTATTAAATTGGGTAAATAAAAAATTATTATTAATTTTATATTTTTAATTAAAAACAAAATGTTTATAGGTTAGAAACTTAAAGTATTTAGCACCTTTTACAACAATTGGTAATATTGCCACTATCGTTTCATTTGGTGTAATTTTATATTATATCTTTAGGGAACCGATTTCATTTGAAAATAGAAATCCAGTTGCAAATATTGAAAAGTATCCACTTTACTTAGGAACTGTACTATTTGCTTTAGAAGCTGTTGGTGTGGTAAGTTGTTTTTCATTACACACATTTATTTTTATTAAAAATTTCTTTTATTGTTAAATTATGCTGTATGCACATATATTTTTACTTGCTCTATTTTATTAAACCTACTTTGCATATTATTTGAATCAGAACTTGAATAATGTTGCCAGATAATAAAATTTAAAATTTGTATAACGTTGGTAAAAAATTGTCATATTTCAAAAATTTAAAAAGTAAGAACTGCTTTCGATAAAAAAAACTACAAATTACAAGAATATTTTTATTCCCTAAAACAAGTGTTTCAATAAACATATACATATGTACTTACAACATGTACTACTTAAGCTTTCAAACCATCACATTAAATTAAAATTCATACATTTTTCGTTTTGTACTTTAAATTCAATGCAACTACGAGAATAATACACATAATATTAAAAATATCGTAATTTTCAACTATCCCAATAAAATGATCCTAAATATATGCAATTTTTTAGCAATTCAATGAAAAATTCAATTCTATTTTCTGTCTGAATTTTTATCGTAAAATTCAATTTACAAAATGGCAAAACATAACTACTTAAATATTTTATTTAAAAATAAAGCAAACTTATTATTAATATTTGTGAAAAAATTTGTGATACGTCCAATTTTCTAGATAGATTTACATGTGAGCTGAACTTTCGGAAATTACGCTTAATATATATTTGCAATGTCAAAAATACTTTTTAAAAAATTAAAAACAAATTCTCCCATTTATTTTTACTTAAAGATTATTCCTCTTCAAAATGAAATGAAAAAACCAAAAAATTTTGGAAGACCATTCGGTGTATTGAATGGAGCAATGTTAATTATAATATCATTATATATGGGAATGGGTTTCTTTGGATATTTAAAATATGGACAAGATGTTAAAGGTTCAATAACCCTTAATTTGGCAGAAGATGAAGTGTAATAAAAATTTTTAAATTTCGATTAACTTTTTTAATTTTGCAGTTTAATTTAAAACTTAATTACTAATTATTAATGTTTGTGCTTGTTTTGTTTTTTGTTAATATATAAATTAATAGACTTGCCCAATCAGTAAGAGGAATGCTATCATTTGCAATTTTTATAACACATGCACTTCAAAGTTATGTTGCAATTGATATTTTATGGAATCATTATGTTAAAAAGAGGGTAAAATCAAATTTTACTTTTTGGGAATATGTTGTTAGAACGTTTTGTGTACTGGTGACTTGTAAGTATAAAATTATTATCCATACATACATTTTAATTCTTCATTTATAAAATTTTCAGTTATTTTCGCAGTAGCAATTCCAAATTTAGAATTATTCATTTCATTGGTTGGTGCATTATGCTTTAGTGTTGTTGGATTAGTTTTACCAGCAACTATGCAGATTGCAACATGGTGGTATCATACAAGTGGCTTTGCTCGTATACGCTTAATTGTAATAAATACAATAGCCTTTTCAGTTGGTATAATCGGCTGTATTATTGGATCAACAGTATCAATCATTGAAATTTACAATAAATTTTCATCATCATCTGAAACAGAGTAAAAAATTATTTAATATTATTAAATTTATACTTAAAATAGAATATAGAATTAATATATTAAATTAATGTATAGATTATAGTTATAATATAAATGTATAGGCATTCAATATGAAGTAGTGAATCTACATAATTGTTTTTATATTCATATGTACATTATATGTACAAACATTTGGAATAATAAATAATTTGTATTCATTTTGTAACTAAATAATTATCCAAACTATTTTTTTAAGTTAAATTAAGGTAAAATTTATATGGTTTTTAATATAATATAATAATAATTTTTTAATTAAATGGTGTAATAAAATACATTTTTAATTCTTAACACTTCTTTTAAATTTTAAAGGGTAAAGAATGATCTTTACCCAAGAAGCAATGCCATTACCTAGAAAAAAAGTTTGGCAAAAAGGCTCCGAAAGAGTCGGAATTTTGTAAAAATAAGCTATTTAGATACCTACGTTCTACATTTCTTACTAAAAATAGATTACGAAACAAAAAACTATGCTCTACTAAAACCTCATGTCAAATTAAATACCCTAAATGTTAAATGAGATGCCGTAGTCATTATATGTGTTTGATTCTACTACGATCGTGTAAGATTATTAGATTTAAATTCTTATTTTCAGTCTTTTCCACTCATTTGGAAAAGACTTAATAATAATAATATATTTTCTTTAATATCTTTTTTAAGATTCTTTATTGTCACATGCAAAAGATTCTTCCTTACAAACGTTTATCCTAATTTGTTTTTATGACCTACATACATTATTTTTCCTATTACTTATCTATATTATTTCAATGTTTCTAAGGAATCTATATTATTTCAATGTGTGAAAATAACGCTGAGGTGTCTTTAAAATATTTACGCTTTTGAGTAATCTTAAAAAAGCAATTGAATCAATATTACCTCTCTTAATTTTTTTAAAATTTACTTCAATTTTGCATTAAAAACATTTTTAGAAATAAAATTTAATAATACAATGAATAGTTATAAATATATACTCTGTTACTATCTTCCGTAATAGGGTAATATAGTAAGAAAATTCTGTAGCTATATACACAAAGAAAATCGGATATTTGATGATTTTCAGATATGTATCTAACTTTTGAAGAAATAAGAACCGAAGAACCACAGGAACGTTTTGAATTTATGAAATAAAAAAATGCGTTCAAAATTTAATGTTTTACAAATCTATAGTCTACAACTTGATATATAAAACAATTATTGGATTACTTATAGTAAAGCAAGTTTAGATAAAAAAAAATATAGAAAGATAATATGGAAGTATTGGAGAAAGACAATGTCGACGAAAATAATATCTGTTTTATTTTTTACACATATTACGACAAGATTTCTTAAATTATTGAAGCTTAAGAAAAGATATGCATAAGATATTTTCAAATATAGAGTATTCTCGAAAATGCAATCTACACTCTAACTTCATATTAAGTAACGATGAATTTTCTAGACTTAATTGTAAATAAGTTTATATATTTTGGATTTAGGATTATAGCAAATCCCCATTAAAATATACAATTATATTTATATTATATATATATGTATGTCGTAGGATAAAATAAAATTTTAGTCATTGTGAATGTAATGATCATTTTAAGTTTTCAACTTTGAAACGATAGCTGCCTCTTTAATGTTAAGAATCCTTTTATTCACACTTAGAGAAAATTCACATCTTTTCAATCCATAGTAATGTTATATGAACATCTTGTAAAATGCTTTTTTAGTCAGTAGATTGTCATTTCCATGTCCAGAAGTATTGAAAATTATATAATTTAGCATTACTTAGAATTTATGTTGCGATCAGTGAAATTGTTGTTCGGAGCCAAGTCAAATTTCAATTTTGTTTTTTCCTTGTTCTTTACATGAAAACGATTTCTGGATTCTTAAATGCGATTTTAAATTAATATTAACATCTTGGAATTACGAAAAATAACATTTTCAATAAAGCAAATTCTTAATAAATTGATTTCATTCCTAAAATAAAATAAAATAATTTTATATATGTATGCATGTAATGTATTAAAAGAAAGACTTTATGTAATTTTTCTTTCATCTTTTCGTATCTGATCCCATTTCGATTACGGATTACAGCAACTTCAAGAAAATACCCTTGATAAAGAATTAATAAAATATTTTTTTTTGTATCCTTTAAAAATTTTAGAATATTTTGAAACATTTTTTCTTCTATTATGTTGACAATATTATTTATTTTAAATTCAGTATACTTAAATCTTTTTTTTGTTTAAAACTTTTGCTTCCGAATTACATTAAGTAGATTAAATACAAAATTGGTTAAGTGTTATGTTTTCTCTTAGGCAATTTATTATTTTCATAGGGATTAGGATATTTACAATTTTAAAATATTGGCGTTTTGGAATGCAATCGTAATATTAAATATAATCTTTCCAACTGAGTGTTTTTATAAAACTCCTCAAATTGACATAAATGTAGAGTAAAATCAAATTTGTATTATGAGCGGAGGAGTTAATTTATTTGGAGTTTATAGTCAAATTCAATTTATTTGTATGCCTCAGTTTGTGTGTGAGAGCACTTTTTGAGTTCTTATATGGGTTTTTAAATTAATATAAGCATTTTGTATTTCTATTAATATTAGCACAGAAAAAAAAATTACATCAAAAAATTGATATTATTCTTTAATGAATGTACTTGAAAAATTTTCTTAAAGGGTTTTAAAAACTGTAAAAAATATAATTATGGTTATTCTCGTCCTTTTTATATCCTTATCGAAAAAATCGCTGGCACAAAATTATTACATCATAAGGTACAATTTGATTATCTCTTTTTTTTTCTTCAAAAACAAAATAAATATTGTCTAGCTCAATTCAATTCAAATTAGTGCAATTCCATTTTGCAGCCTAATTCAGTAAAATACTTAATTAAACAAAATCTACTTTCAAATTATTTTATTTCCCTTAAAGCATAGTTAAAATTTAGTATACTTAAAATTTCAATATTTAGTAAAAAAAAAATAACAAAAAAAAATTGTCAAATTTAATCTAATGATAAGAAAATTTCCAAATTTTTTTTTATGATAAGGACATTATCATCAGGCGAATCATTAACATATAATTTTGATTTATTTGTTTTTTTTTTGATCTATTCAAAAATTAATTTCCATTAATATTAAGAAATCAAATACCTTATTTAATGTTCTTTTATTTTAATATTAAACAGTCTTCCGTGAAATAGTGAAGCGTTTGGACATTAGAATTAGAATTTCTATAAATTATTCTATTATTAATTAAAACGAAATATTATAATTTATTTAAATATTTATTTAAAATATTTTATTAATTTAAATATAGTATTTATATTTATTTTTCAATTTTTATTAAAAATTTCTTATATAAACAAATAGTCATAGTTCTGTTTCTTATAAAAGGATATTGAAAATAATGGATAATATTCAAAAAGGATATGATAACAAAGGATACGAAACAGATATTAAAAATAAAGATTCTAATTGGCATACTGTCAATTTAGATTCAAGAAATGAGAAACGTCAGATTGCTAGTGAAGGAGATGATTATGATCCATACCAACATAGAGATATAAAACACCCTATAAGGTAAAATACTATGTATGTACTTAGTTTATAGTTTCTCACTGCAAAAGAATTTAATCAAAATTAGTAATTATTAAATCAAATTGTTTGATTAGAGTGATTATTTATATTTTTTGATTTATTACACATTAAGAACTTCTTAATACTCATTTATTAGCCCATTTAATTAGAAAACATATTTTAAGTTAAATCAAATTTTTTACAGCTTATATAAAAACTAAATTATAAATTATATATATATAGGAATGTGAATTTCTTTCAAATGTAATTAAAACAGACAGTAAAACAAGAGTTTTAGTTATTAAATCAATATTTATTTAAGCACAAATTAAATTGACTTAAAATTGCATATTGATCAGTTTAAATTTTAAAATGTAAGAAATTTCTAATGACTTGGAAGCGTTCAAATGGTTCGAAATAAAATTTCAAATTCAACATTCACCGCAAAATTCATATTGGATATAAGACCCCTATATACGTACATAAATTTCCTTATTGCAAAATTTTAAAATTTTTGAAAATATTTTTATGAGAACGGTTGATTTAATTCTTTTAAATTAGAAAAAACCTAAACAAGGAAATGTTAAGTCAATTGAACTCTTTAATATTACACAAATACAAGTAGGTACTTAAAAAATCTGATAAAAACTAGCAAGGTCATAAAATTATTTCATATAAATTACTTGTTTGAATTATTAATTAAAATATTTAACAGATAATATATGATGACAAATTTATGAACTCAATCCATAATAATAAACATAAATTCATTGGTTAACAAATACTATTTGAATATTTAAGCACGCACCTAATTAGAACCAAATTTTTCTGATTAAAAAAACAGAATAACATAGCTATTTATAACATAGCTATTATGTAAATATATATAAATATATAAAATATATTTAAAAACAAAACATAGCTATTTGTATGTAAATATATATGTACCTACATAATGTATCATAATTAATAATTTGTAACAAATCGCAATTAATGGTTTGTAAACAAATAAGGTACAAATTGTTTACAAATCATTATATTGTATATAAAATACATATGTACATATTTAAAAAATGTGTTTGCATTGGCCCGGCCGCCCGCCTTCTGTTAAAAAATTACGAAAATAAACTTTTGTATTAAAAACGTAAAATTTAGTTCTAAGATTCTAATCTTATTGTTACATAATTATAGTATTTGTATTGTTTATTGTTATTATTGATGAAATTCTTAAATGCATTAAAAATTTCTGCATAATCTACCACATACAATAATTCTAGTCTCAAAAATTAATTCTATGAATTTTTCAAAATTTTACGAATAACAAATTGGCGTCATTCTTAAATAACTACTTCTGTCAATTCTGTCCAAATATTTGTCTTATCGATTTTAATGTTAAGTGATTTCATTTATCCGATTGAAATTTGTACTTATTTGATACTATTAATAATTTACAAACGTAAATTATAATATGTATTGTGTATACATATGTATGTAATTGATTCACATATATAAAGGATTGAAATAATTGATAATAATTATAAAATCAAAACACTTTAGATAAAAAATTGGGTTTTCAAATAATTTAAGCATGCTCGAAGTATTTTAATATCTATCAGTACTTAAAACTTCAACTAGAATTTTATTGATAACCAACCTTTTGTCAATGGATATTATAATGGCAAAACGTAAAAAATTGAAAGATCTAAGACCAATTTTGTGATTAATTATTAAAATTGTAATAAAAGGATAATGAAGATTGTTCTATGACTAATTCAACTGAAGTAGCGATATACATATATGTATATGAAGTTTATGTTAAAAAGCTAATACTAATTTTTTTTTTTCTTCAAAAAACTTATCTTTAATTATGATAATAATTGTGTTTATTATCATTTAATTGGTTTAATATAATGAAAACTTTGTATTATTAAATCTATTTATGTGTTTAGTAGAATAAACTATGTTGATAGTTTTCCTAAACATTTTTGCAATGATTTCCTTAACATTTTAAGTAATAATTTCAGTAAGAAACCTAATAAATATGAAATTTGTCAACCGTAAATTTTTAATGATTACGTATTTTTTCACATATTTATGTTCATTACTCTAATGTAAACTTTAAATGTTTACTTTCAGGCATGTCCGGTTACATTTTAGACATACATATTTTATTAATATGAAAAAAAGTACTTAGTTATAATATTAACTAAATAAGGAAATTTTCGATAATTCAGTTCTGAATTCAAACTTGCAAAATCTGCAAAAATAGCATTCTTTAAAATGGCAGAGGCGCTTACAGTTCTAAATGAATTTGTATCTACTGCAAATCAAAAAAGAGCATAATAGAAAAATATTTTATATTGAAAAGTTAATACTAAATAAGGAAAATACTTTTAAGATTTAATTTTGAACTTTCAGTGCATGTCTTATCAACAATTCCCATATTCTGCATAGTATAAATATCTTAAAAGTAACGAACGCACATTATTTAATTGTTTAAAATTAAAAAATAAACCCATTTAAATTTACAATTAAATAAAAATGAAAATAAATTCATTTTTTTTATATAAAGATACTGTAATAATATTTAGTGTGATTTTCTTTTGTTTGCAGGGCGTCTGAAGCGTTAATACATTTATTAAAAGGTTCTCTTGGGACAGGAATTTTGGCTATGCCAGCTGCATTTAAAAATTCCGGTTATATTGTAGGGATTATATGCACTTTTATTGTAGGATTAATATGTACATATTGTGTTCATGTGCTTCTAAGTACAAATTATGAACAATCTAAAAGAAAGCGAGTGCCACATTTAACATATCCAGAGTTGGCTGAAACTGCTTTAGCTGGTGGTCCAAATTTTTTTAAAGTGTTCACTCCAATTATTGGGTAACTATAAATTATTATAATGTGTATTTTTAAATTATATAAAATAATATTTTATACAACAAACAACATAGGCATGTCACAAAAATTTTTCTTATAATTGTACAACTTGGAACATCCTGTGTATATGTAGTCTTTATTTCAGACAATATAAAAAATATTGTAGACTATTACACTGAAAAAGAAGATCATATAGATATTCGTCTTTACATGTGCATGATATTGTTACCTTTGATTTTGATTAATTGGGTAAATAACAAAATATAAATGATTTTAATTTAAAAACACATAGCCTTTTACATATATAATGAAACATAACCGAAAATTATCGGCCGTATAATCAGATTTTAATAAAATTAATATTCAACAGGTTCGGAATTTAAAATATTTGGCTCCTTTTACGGCAATTGGTAACGTTGCCACTATTGTTTCGTTTGGAGTAATTTTATATTACATCTTTAGAGAACCAATTTCAGTAGTTGGAAGGGATGCAGCAGCTCCAATTGAGAAATTTCCACTATATCTCGGAACCGTTTTATTTGCTTTAGAAGCTATTGGTGTTGTAAGTAGAGTTAAATTTAATTATGTGCACGTATACATATGTATAATGATATGTAAAATGAAATATGTACATATGTATGTAGATATAGTATTTATGTTTCAGGAAATCATGAATAAATTTTTGCAAACAAAATAATTTAAATTAAAATATAAATATGTAATACAAATTTGATATATTTTTGCATATACATATACTAATGTAGGTCATTCCATTACAAAATGAGATGAAAAGCCCAAAAAATTTTGGCAGACCTATAGGTGTATTGAATATTGCCATGTTTGTCATAGTGTCTTTATATATGGGAATGGGTTTTTGCGGATATCTCAAATATGGTGCAGATATTAAAGGATCAATAACGTTAAACTTAGCGAAAGATGAAGTGTAATATATATTCCCTTTAGTAAGATTCAAAGCTTTATTTAATTCTTTATTTTATAGATTAGCTCAATCTGTGAAAGGAATGTTGGCGTTTTCAATTTACATTACACACGCACTCCAAAGTTATGTTGCAATCGATATTCTATGGAATCATTATATTAAAAAAAGATTATCATCAAGATTTACTTTTTGGGAATATGTTGTTAGAACGTGTTCCACACTTGTTACATGTAAGTTAAGAATTGTTTTTATAATTTCTACACTAAATATTTTTTCTTTAAATTATTTATTACAGTCATTTTTGCAATCGCTATCCCCAATTTAGAGTTGTTTATTTCCTTAGTGGGAGCATTATGTTTAGGTGTACTTGGATTAGCATTACCAGCTACAATTCAAATGTCAACTTATTGGTTTCAAACAAGTGGATTCGCTCGTGTACGATTAATTGCGCTCAACTCATTTATATTTTTGGTTGGAATAATCGGATTCATCATAGGAACTACAATATCAATAATTGAAATTATTGATTCATTTTCAAAACCCAAAACAGAATAGTATAAGGAACTACAATTTAGATCATGTTATCCATTCATATGTACATAAATCAACATAATATTGTTATTCTCATGAATTATTTGTTTAAATAATGAAAATTAAATTTATGTCGACCAACTTATTTGATAAATTAAGTTTACTGTTAAAAAACCAGTTTTTCAATATAAACTTATAATTTGCCGATAATTTTTTGTCTCGGAATTATTCTGGTTGACTACAATAATGAAAGGAAGCTGTAATTGCATATTGGTTTGTATTTTCCATCTCTTAACTATTTCCTACATATATACATACATATTTTTGCAGTAATATAATATATGCTCCTAATGTACTTTAAATTTATTGTCGGTATAAGGTATCTCTATTGAAATTACATACTTTTAATAAAGTGATTTGGCGTAACTTCTTTGCTATAGCTTCGTCTGTCGAAATAAATTCTAATTTTTATTGGGGGATACTACAGCTGACAGAAATACTTTTTTATGATATTTTTGTTATGTCAGCAGGATACACGTTTTATATGTTTCAAATATACATACTTCTAAACCAATTCAATATCTTCTTAACAAATTCGAATGTTGCTTTTAAATTGCTATAAATCTTCTCATTAGATGATCAATCATTTGATGATTTTCCAATATTTTTTCTTTACAATTTCTATTTCAAATGAACATTAAACATAATATGTTTTTGTTATTTGGTATATTTTTGTTTTGTTAAGGTTGCTATTATTTAATTGTTTATCTAAAAAGTTGTTTTGTAAATTTCAATTTTAAATGTCCAAAAAACTGACACACATATATGACAATCTCATAAATAACACTAGTATCACTCTCAAATAAACTTCAACATTGTGTTATAAAATACGCTTCAGCCGTACGGTGATCACGAAATTTCCAAATGAAGCTTATGCTTAAATACGTATGCGTAACTCTATGCTTAAATTCTTTACTAAAGTTCGATAAAAATGATTTTGAACAATGGTCAAAATTTCCTAAAAAATTTACCTCCGCATTCAGAAAAGAAAGCATATTTAAGAGTTCTATGTTGATATTTATTAAATTTATTTTTGTTAAATATTTTTTGTTGATTAAAAATTAAAATATTTGAATAAAACTTTCTCCGAAAACTAAACCCTTAATTTAGATTTTTGTGATTAATGAAAAATATAAACACAATATGTATTTCCCTAGATTCAATAGTTGCTATTTCACTTTTTTGGCATCATTTCTAGCAACAAGTCAGGAACTTTTAACTGATAAAAATTTTGAAAGCATTCAAATATATACATGGAAAATTATATTATTAGGGAAACGAAATATTTGGATTTATAATTTATTTCGTTTTGAGAACAACGGAATCCCCTTTAAAATGAATTTATAAAAAATAGAATGTGAAAACAAATGGCGGAATTCATTTGTGTAGGAAATTTTGTTATTTGTGAAGGAAATTCATTAATATTTTTGGCTAATCATTTGTAGGGTTAGTATCCTACATATTTTTTAAATATAAAATTTAAATTTAAAAAAAAATGGCTTAGTAAATTTCATCTGAAATATGCATTTAAAAAAAAATTGCAATTTTTAGTTCAGAAAACCGCTTTTTTCCAAATGGAGGAGTACTGAATTACAGAGTATTACTCTTGAATAAGAATTATAATTTATAAAGAAATTGAAGAAAAAAGCAAAAAAAAATAATTATTATAATCTAGATGGCTTTAAAACTATATTAAATAATATGAGAATTATAAAGAATACTAAAACATTTCAAAAAATAAAAAATATATTTCAATCGACACGCTTCGAATTGTTTTTGTATTTTGCTCTGATTCAAAATTTCGGAAAATAATTTCAGCTTAGTGGCTTGATAGTTATATATGGCATTATTCAGGAAAGTAAGAAAAGGTGAAATATACTAAATATTAGAATTCCATTAAAAGTTGTTTTTATAACACAGTTGTTTTTTTATAATTGAAGAGACCTGGTAACACTTTTTAAGATTGTCATTCACATGTTGACATAGCATAGAACATAATTGTTGCAAGCAAACTGGTAAAATTAATTTTATTCAATGGTAATATTTAATATAAATAGTTCTCTCCAAATTATTTAACAATTTGATTTTAGCGATATTTTTTAAGCTTAATTATTCGAACAAATGAAGGACTTAAGAGAATGTGGGGAAGTTGGGCCTTCAGAAAATGGTGAACTCACATTTTCGTGCCTCTTTTGTGGGGATAAATTGAGTGCTATGGAACTGATTATAGACCATATCAATGCCTTTCATAAAGACAAAATTACCTTTGAGCCAGATGCTCTAAAAAAGAGACCGCGTCGAAAAAGAAAATCCGAGTTACCCGTTTCGGAATGGATTCATCTTGAGAAAGAAAGGAAACGTAAGCCGGGAAGGATTTCAAGAAAGAAATTAGAGGAGAAGCAAAATTCTGATACTGATGTAAATACAAATAAAGATACCAATGAGGAAAAAGAAAATTCAAAGCCTGATGCTAAAGAAAATTCACGGCTTGCAAAGGTAGAAAACGAAATTCCTATTTTAGAAAAAAATCAATATGCAAGACCTAAAAGAGCAGTATCGCAAACCAAAGCGAAAAGTAGTAAGACTAATACAGAAATTCCAACTAAATTCGTACATGGTAAGAAAAGAGGCAGAAAGAAGAAAAATAATTTTACTATAATGCCAAAGGAATCTGATGAAGAAACCCCAATTAAAATTAGATTAAAAAGGCGAGGTACCTATTTTATTTCTTGCTTACATTTCGGAAAAATCTAAGGATATTCGTTGTATTTTTTTAGGTAAAGAAATGATCATAGAAAATACAAATGCGGGAGGAAATGTAAAAGTGGAACATCCCGTAAATATTACAGCTGAGGAAGTTGACAATAAGGCGATTGCTCACAGTAATACGTTACTAATTCCACAAGAAACACCAGAAGAAAACAAAAATTTTGAAAGCAAAGCGGTTGATTTAGATTGCAAAATTGTTGAAAACATTGATTATAGCAATAAGGTTTTAGAAGAAAAAGAAAAAACATTTAATTTTGTCAAGGACGAAAAAACTGATTTTAATTATGTAGTCAAGCCTGAATTAATGATTGAAGATATCCACAATTTAAAGAAAGAAAATATTGATGTTTCAAACCATGTTACTGAAATCGAAAAAAGCAGGGAGGAATTTGAAGATAATTATTCTGATATATTTTTAGAAAATAATTCGGTGAATATGAGTCAAAATAATAATTCAATAAGTGAAGACGATTCTGACTATCGTGAAAATCAGCCTGAAGACAGTAGCTCTTCAGATTCAGATTCTGAAAAAATATCGGTATTGAAAGAGAAACTTCAAAAAGATATCGCAAGAAATAACGGTGACATTCAAGCAAATCGAAACTACTATGATTTTGATGAATCATCGAAGAAAATGGGATTTACATGTAAGCAAAAAGTAAAAATTCAAAATCCTGAACTGAACCTAGAAAATATGCATAAAAAAAGACGGAAATTGAAATGCACTCCAAAAACCAGAAGAATGAATGAATTTGGTGAATACATGTGTGATTTATGCGGAAATACATACAAAAAAGCAACAAGCTTAAGCCGCCATCGATCTGACTGTAGGAAAGGAAAAACAATGACACCGAGAATTCGTGTACGCAAAGAAAATGGTTTATTTCCTTGTACATACGAAAATTGTCAAGCTGAATTCTCCAATGTGGAGGAAGTTTTTAAACACGAAAAAGATGTTCACGGAAAAAAGAAATATGCTCGCCCTCAAACTCGGAAAAGGAATGAATTTGGTGAATATGTTTGCGATATTTGTGGGAACGTTTATAAAAAAGGAACCAGTCTAAGTAGACATAGAGCTCTATGTCGAGAAGGAATTGTGGTAGTCCCAAAAAGGAAAAAGCGTGACAGAATGCGCAATGAAAAAGGAATGTATCAATGTGCCTTCCACTCATGTGGGTTAGAATTTTCAAAAGTTGAAGACGTTGTAGCACACGAGAGGGAAACACACAAAGGTGGAAAAAAGAAGAAAATAGGAAGAATGTGTGAAGTTTGCGGTAAATGGTTAACATCTGCATGTAGCTTTAAGTCTCATATGCTTCGGCATTCAGGCGAACGTAACTATAAATGTGATCAATGCTCTGGAGCTTTTTTCGATAAATATGCTCTCTCTTTGCATAAAAAAGTACATATTGATGTCAGAGAATACATATGCGAATATTGCAACAGAAAATTTAAAAGAGCACCTGAAATGCGAAAACATATAAGATATGTTCATTTAAATATGCGACCGGAGCCAGTGATGTGTGACCTTTGCGGAAAATATCTTCAGTAAGCTACAAAATGTAATATTTAATTTTTTGTTCTAATATGAATTTTTTATAATTTTAGCTGGAAATTTGATTTAAAAAGTCACATGCGCAGACACTATAACATAAAAACAATCCGTTGTGAATTTGCTGAATGTGAACAAATGTTCGCAAACAGAAGTGATCTAAAAAAACATTTGATAACTCACAATCCAGATATCAAACCATGGCAATGCGAAATTTGTTCTAATTCATTTTCAAGGAAGTCAACACTGGTTAAACATCAAAAATTGCATACTGGAACCAAAGAATATACTTGTTCTATATGTGGAAAAGCTTTTGCACAATCTCCGGGATTGTATATGCATATGAAATCTCATGGTTTCAACCTGAAACCTGAAGGTGCAGCTCGTTATGAACGAATATCTCACATAGCATTTCGTCAAATGGATTCCGATAGATTATCAAGTTTAAATTTTAAGCAAAATAATGAAATCAATATTACAAACGCAAATGATATTCAAATAAACCTTGACTTGAAAAATCCGAATGACATACTTAAACAGCAGGATATGGACGATTTTCAACATGAAAATTCTGAAAAAATTACACATAGTGATGAAGATTCCAAAAATTTATTAAATCAAAAAATTCTAGAACAACATAAAACTAATCAAACTGCTTTAGAAATCCCAACAAATCAAATTGCAACTATACATATAGAATCAATACAAGGAGTTCTTAGTAGTAGTCTTATAACTAACCCAACAATAACAGCAATAGGAAATGAGATTCAAATTAATTTAGGTCGCCCAATACAAATAGATTTAGGACAATTATCACAAGCGCCAAACCATTGATATTTGGTAATATGTATTTACAAAAAGAAAAAATTCTAGTTGTGTAAACTAGAAAATATTTTGGTGTATTTTTTATTACTCCTAAATTTTAAGAATTACATTTAACTTATTTTAAGAAAAAATTAAATATTTTTTAAAAAATATTGAAAAATTTCTGATTAATTTTTATTTATAAGGAATTATAAGAACTTGCACTTTTATCTCTACCCTTTCATCGAACATTAAATTTTTTTAAACGAAAGTTACTAAAACGTTCTTGGATATTTTCCTTTCTTTATGAACAAGTACTATAAACTTTTATTCCCTTCAAAATTGAGTGGATCGTCTGTTTCTTGAAGTGGTTTTAATTTTGCATTGATAATAATTAATTATCTAGATAAGAAATATAACAAAAATTCATGAAATTAATACTAGAATTTAAAACGTTAAATATATACTTACAATGCGCCTCATCCTCCAAAATTGTCAGCAGCTTTTTTTTTTCAAAAAAAAATATATTTGCGCTTTCCATATCACAAATAAAAAAATGAGCTTCATAAATTCATAATTTATCGAAATAAAAACTTTTGTTTTTGTTAATAAAAAATTAATGAATGTAAATCAGGAAAAAGGTTTTAAACAGGTAATTTCAGAGGAAAACAAAAAAATGTAGTTAAAAGACGTCGAAAACCGAGGTCTGAAATTTGGAAAACTATTTTGTGGCAAAATGGTCACCTTAAGCTACACACAACTACATAAGCATGTATGTACATACTTTAAAAAGTACTTAAATTTTAAATGTTCGACACAAATAAAGTTCTTATAGAAGTTGTCTTGAAGGCATTTAAAGATAGCAATTTGTAATTTTTCTGCAAGCAACTCCTAATTTAAACAAAAACTTTTCTTGAACATTTACATACAATAAATTATAGAAGAAAAGATAAGAAAGAACAGTAAAACCTTTTTATCTGATTTTTCTCTCTATGTGGTACAATCTTTTTTCCCTTTAAACCTAAAAAGTTCAATTGACAATAAATTAAAAGTTTAAAAGTTTTGATTTATTGTTTAATTAATCCAAATGAAAGAACAATAAGACAATTTGCCACAGTAAAATATCAGAATTCATATAGAAAGCACTTATTTAAATGGTACTAGCCATATTAAACATACTTTAATGGTACTAAATCAAGCGAAATAACCGAATTTAACCACCGACAATTAATAGCCTACATTCCTATTTTACTGCTGCTGTTTTTTTCTGACATTATTTGAGTCCAATACTGTACATTCAATTTTGCCGTTCTGCTATTGTTCTGGGTTGACAAGTGAAATCGTCTGCCGTTTCCATTCACCGCTGGTTATGTTTTAAAAATTAAGGTCAATTAATTTATCAAAACAATAATATGACGTAAGGTAAATTTTTAAAAAATTCCTAAGCTGCAGTTTTGTTTTTTACCCAGCATTTACACGTACAAGTTACTTGCAAGAAAGTTGCAATACATACAAAAATTTTACTAACACATTGAAATATTTCTACTTGCTTGTTTACTTGCAGTTCAACTTGCAAGAAAATTTTGCTGGCAGTAATTTGAGCAAGTAATTTGACATATGGAGAAATTCACAAAAAAAAATTTGTTGTTTTGATTTTTTTTTTTTTTTAATTTAAAATTTTTGAATTTTGTTTTGAAAAAATTAAACTTAGCAAACTTATGGTTTCTAAAATTTATAAACAATTATATATATTGCTAGTTGTTTTCTTCTCAAAGACATTTTCAAAAATTAACTTGCTAAACGCCTACGTCATAATAGCAAGTAATTTGACATTTCGAAAAACTAATTGACAATTAATATTACACAAACTTGCTTGCAAGTAACTTGTATATGTAAATGCTGGGTTAGACAGCAATATTTTTGATATTAAAAGATTTTATTTTAGATAGTTTTAGTCTTATGTGTAAGGTACTGTTTACATATACGACAAAATCTAAGGTGTCACACATCAGAATAAATCTAGAATTTAATCTACGATAAAATGTGACGAGCATTTACATATCCTATTCCGTTTATACTTGTACGGTAAAGTTTTGACGGTGATATTTTTAATATTTATAATCTATAAACTGGATTAAAACAAAAATTTAAGAAAAAAACCAAAAATCAGCTGGTCGTGGTAAAATTTTTTTAAAAATTTATTTTTCGCCATGTTTTTTTTAAAAATCTGACAGAAAATCTGATGATAATCGAATTTTTCTATTTTTTTAGCTATTTTTTTCTTATTATCAAACTTTATCTTATCCGAGTTTCATCAGTTCAGAATAAATCTTAAGCAGTGTTTACTAATCAAGCAAAATAGGACAACTAAATATAATCAACTAAAAAGGTTTACAAATGAAATTTGATTTAGTTTAATTTTCTGTCACTTTACCTATTGCAGTTAAAAAAAATTAAAAATCATCGAAACATCATTACAACACATCACAAATTTTAGTACTCATTATTTTTTATTATTTCAACTGTCAAAAAATTTTATGGAAAATAGAACAGATTTTATTTCCTTATACGATGTAGTTTGATTGGATTGGGTGTTTGCATATCAAATATGTTTTAAATGTTGATCGTTTCAAACTAAATTGTATATTTTTGCTTGATTCACAAACACACTCTTAGATGTTTTTGTATATTATGTAAACAGTACCCTAAACATTGAAAAAAGCTTTTAAAGCAAGCAAAATCGCACAATGCCCGCTTTTCATTTCGATATCTCGCTTTCTAAGCTTTGACAATAAATTGACAGTTTCCTTTTTTTTAATTCTTCAAAAATGTTTCAAAACAAATAAATTTTTTTGAAAAATGTTTGAAGAAAAATTAATTATGAAATCAAAAACGGTTGAGTTATTTGCGGCAAAAATATAAATGGCGCCTGACCAAATACTCCACGAATATTCTCATTATAATGGATTCGAGTGTACTAAAGTACAATGCAAAAGTAGAGTGCAATTTACAAAATTTAGTTTGATTTCGTTAAATTCGTTAAAAAAATTATTCTGGTTTACAGCTCTTTCATTAAAACGTCAATTTTTTTTTGACTCTATTGAGTTTTCTTTTAGTTTAAATGTACTCATACTCAATAAAGGAAAATTTTATAAATTATTCGGCCGGTGGTTAAGATTTCGTACGGATTGAAATATTTATTATAAACTAATTAAAAATGAATTGAAATTAAACTTTCTTTTGTGTAATAATAAATTATCACACAATTTGTTGAATTTCTTTTAATAAGAATATTAAGGTATTTCTGATTTCTTTTTAATTTTATATTTTAAAACGGATGTGTAATAAATTAATATTGGATTTTTTTTTTTGAGTATTGTTAGTGCATAAGAAGTAAAAAGAAAAAAAAAGCTTTGTATATTAAAATTTTTCGTAGAAATTGAATTTGTGCATTTTTAAGTTCAGTGTGTTTTTTGTTTTATAAAATTGCAATAAATCTTTTAATTATGAAAATTTAACTTGTGAAATTCCGTATCATATGAATTGCATTAATATGCAATTTGAGAAAAAAATTTACTTTTCGTTTTTCAGTTACATATAATTTGTGCATTGTAAAATTTAACGTTTGCGCGACTTTTTAATAAAAAAAAAAGAAGAAAAGAAAAACACAAAATTCTTTAAATTTTGTAAAAGAAAAAAAATTTTTTATAAGAAAATTACAAAAACAGGATTTGTGAATCAAGCAATTTGTGAATAATTTTTCTTTTATGCCTTTTTTTTTTTAATCATTTCTTATAAAATAGTTTCAAATATTCTTCTTTTAATCAAAGTATTTACAGAGTTATAAAGGCAATAAATTGTTATATAAAATAAGAAATAGTTATACATAGCTAATATTGTTTACAAATATAATTTATTTTAATACAAAATTCATCCTCTTCTATTTCATTAATAATAAAAAATTAAAGTGAAAATTGAAAAATCAATTGGCTATTCTTTTGTAACTAAAGGTATCCATGGGATTTTTTTATTTGTTTTCTTTCTCCTGTTTTTTTTTTACCTTTATAAATGGCGTTAACATTCATTAAAGTTCCTCATTATTTATTTTCTATTTTTGATCATAAATAATAATATTGCATTAAATGCAAAGAGTTTTTCAATTCATTAATAATGTACATATGTAGTAAAATAAACAGAAAAAAATATATAAAATAAAAAGTTGTACATAATTAGTTTTTTCAGAGAAAAATTATAATTTATTTTTCATTCTAGATATTTTTTTTTCTTCTTAATTTACAATTTTTTTATTTAAACCAAAGAAAAAGTAATAATAATAAAAAAAGAAAGAAAGATATTGAGGTAAAATAAAAAATTAAATTCTTGTGGTAATGGTTTTATCAAATATGAATAATAAGAATCAAAAATATGAAAAACTTCCTCAAGAATCGGATATAAGTTTTGTTGCTGATCAGGATGATAATCAAGAAGATCGTCATGGTACACCAGAGAAAAAAAATACCAATGTGAATAATCTAAATTCAGATGATAATGGAACGATTTTGGTTAGTAAATTGGAAAATAAAAAAAACAAAAAATTTTTTAAATGTATAATTATCGTCACATAGCCAACATAAAAAACACAAAATCTACATATATTTATACATAAATACTCAAGAATTCTCTATTAAACTTATACATATTTGGTTAACAGTAAAATAACACTTCAATAAATAGGTTGCGCCATTAATGGACAGGAAATTATTAAAAATACAATATCTAACAGAATGCACTAATGGACATTATATATGTCTTAATTTTTCAAAACAAGAAGAAAAAAACATTAACAATTTACGTGTGTTTTTATTAAAAGTAAAAGTGCATGTTTTGTAAAAGTATTTAAAATATACATACTAAAGTGTGTCCCTAAATAGAAGTTTTGTTAATCATACCAAATCACCTACCTACCCCTTCGCACACCACGTTGTTTAGAACATTGTGTTGAATAAGTATCGATTAAATTATTTTGCATTAAGTATTTCTAGAAAATATTTATATTCATATGATAATAGTGCCTTCGTAGACACCTATTTTATTTTATAATTATATTGTCCATTTT